GGTAGAACAATAATTTTCCTGACACACGGATTGGTCATGGGACTGATCGTCTGGCCAACATGTTCTCCTGTAACCCCACTTGATTTTCTCTTCTGGAAGAGATGCAGGAAAGAAAACGTTCATGCTACGTTAGTACAAAATCGTGACGACCTAACCAATCGCATCCTAGCTGGGGCGACAGCCATAACGGGCCAACCTATGCAAATGATTCGTGTCAGGGACCCCATTTGACGCAGCTCCGAGGCTTGGGCACAAGCTGGAGGACGTAACTTCGAACAGTTCCGTAAAGACAGCAGAAATGTATGCCAGTCGCAATACACGATCATACATTTGCGCCAAAGGTAATGTAAATTTTAAACTGAAAAGGCTAAAAACTTCAGAATCTTATATTTTCATTCACTGTGACAAAAAACATCAAACAGAAACGTTGAATGTGAATCGAATATATATATATATTAATAAACTGAAGCGCAAAGTATACGAAAGTGGAGTGGTGGGCTGAAAGTTTTACTGGATAATTTATAATTCATCTCTAATTCCGGATATCCTCCACAGCCTTAATCCCTGAATCTTAGAGAAAAATAAGATATAAAGAGTACTGCTTCCTGGAATGTGAACGGTAGAAGTTTACAGACGTTTCGGAGGAATGTACTGCCTCCATGTCCAGGGTCGAAGAGTAAGCCGTGCAGATATTAGTTGCTGCTTGCTTGTTTCCTTGGCTTCCTCTTCGACCCCGAAGATGCAATTAACACATTCCTTCGGAACGTAGGCAAACTACAAGACTATATACGACATCAAATATCCGAAGAAATATTTTCACAATCGCCGCCGTGAAGATCTCAAATCTGAAGAAACAAAAATATTTCGTCTAACCGTATCCTAACTATCGTCTCCCGCACAACATTAGGCTCCCTTCGCCACAAATAATTCTTTATTCAGATCAATTCTGGAATATAGATCTGTTTCCTGATATACAAGCTGTCGCTTTAGTAACTAAAAAGAAACTCCGTGGTTTTAGTCCGCAACCGAACTATACCGACCGAGCGACCGCGGCTTGTCGGCGAAGTTAGTGCCAAGTTTAGCGGATAGACGGTGTCACGTGGTCAACGCAACGAATCCCTACGGCCATTAATTTCGGTTTTCTAGACCGGAGCCGCTATCCTTGAATAGCTCCTCAATTATCCTTACGAGGCTGAGCGGACCCCGTTCCAGACCCATCACTTCTCAGAAAATCTGGCAGCGCCAGGAATCGAACCCGCACCTCTGGATCTACAACCAGGAACTCTGACCAGACCACAGAGGCGGTCGTCACTTTAGTAACTATTTTAAAATATTCAGTTGTGTTAAAGATGAATAATGACAACGACCTCTGTGTTCTTTGAAAAAGAAGTTTGACAATAGTTCTACCGAGCATTTCTCAACTTCATAAAACTTACCACAGGTCTGGAAGTTTGATGCAAATATTGACATATGACATGAAAGTGAGAGCCCTCCAGGCATTTAAATGGAATTACTGCCATTTCAATTCGCACGACATAAATTATCTTAAAATAAAATACAAATTTAAAAAAAAAAATATATATATATATATACGGTCATTTTTACAGCACAGCTGATTACGAAGGTGAATAAAAACTGGAATATCCTAGTTCCTAACAGTGAACGTTAAAAAAAACTTTAAAAGCAAGTGTTCAGTTAGTTCAAGAATTGTATACATATTATAAGCTTATTCCGAGATCATTTTTATGTTCATTTTTCTCATGGGGTGAGACTGAGTCCACTTGTTACTGCGACCATTGCAGACACCAGTGATCGAGGCTAGCTTTTTCTAAGGGACCCAACTGAGTATGTGTCTTCCCCCCTCACATGAGGACGGAAACAGATCCAATTTCGGAAACGACTGTTTTCTATTCTCTAGAATACCGGACGAAGGAAAATGTCCAAACCCCAGTAATTCTGAGTGTTACACCGTAATTATTTATTTGTTTTAAGTGCTAGTTTTCCACTATATGTATTGCCTGAAGTTTCTTAGCGTCCACAATGCTGGTGCAAATGAGAAAACGGTGCTGCAGTTATAACATCCGTGTCAAGATAAACAGGAAAATCAAACAAAATCTGCCTGGACAACGTTTTACTCCATGCATTTCGAACATGCAATAATTAACGACTCGAACCCGGATTCACTGCATAAGAATTAGTTACAAGATGAAACCTGTTAGGTACAAGCTTTGTTTCTATTTACAGAAGAAAATGTTTAATGGTTTGAACAGAACTAAGAAGAAACATTCATTACACAATATTAACACGCGCATCTAGTTGATAATGCTTTATATTCCCCGATAATTGTTACACAAATTAACGAAATCTTCTCGGGCTACCAGCCATGTGTGGTGGTTAAAAATGATCGACGTTTCAGGGACCCACTGTCGCCATCATCGGGATCTGATGTAACACAAAATGATTTTTTAATTAAATTCACACTCTCTTCTTCCTTCTGCTCCCACTCTGGGGCATAGGGCATCCGTGAAACGCTTTGTTTCGCTTCAGTTTCTTAATCCTAAGACAATCGGCAGGACTCCTTGGACGAGTGCTCAGCCCATATCTACAACACAAACACAGAAAACACGCAGACAAACATCCATGCCTTGAGCGGGATTTGAACCCACGATCCCAGCGTTCGAATTAACTTACTCAAGAATAATTTCCTCAGGCACTTAAACCAGTATTAAAAAAGGATACCCAATCTGAGCTAAAGCTATCCCTTTAACAAGCCGTAGAGGCCCTTATGGTTGTGAGACATCGAGGCTCTCACATTTTCTAGACAGTCGGCGGTGATATCAGCCTTACGTGCCGGCGGCCCTTTACCCCCAGAAAGATTCCTGGTACTCATTTCTGTTAGAGGCTGAGTCGACCCCAGGGCTACAGTGCAGCTGGAAGATTTAGGTCAATTGAAAAATGCAATGACCCCATCGGGAATCGAACACGCGATCTTCCGGCTTGTAACATAGTGTCTTAATACTCATAAATGAGGAAGTCTAAAACTGTATCGCTATTTACTTTCTGAAGTAATCTCGTGCCCTAGTTTGTACAACTGTCTTCATTTGGAATACGGAAAACGTAAAATCTCATGATGGCTTGGGTGTTCTCCAAAACGGATCTAGTATCTGGCACGTACGGTTGCAGAAGGGCCTGTACTGCATTTCTACAGCACTATGGCATCACATACACCACATTCTTTTTTAAGACTTGGAAGTCAGACTTCAATAAGAAGTCCACACGAATTAACCTCAACAAGAATGCTTGAATCTTCACATATTAAATCATACAAATTTTCTCCGGAATAGAATCTGCGCTGTGTAAGATCAACGAACTAAGATGGAACACACATTCAATTCTTAACGACTCTAAAATGCAATGTCAAACGCTAATAACGCGCTACGACTAGCATGATAAATAATATTTAATTGTTCTGATACTATTCTTTCCCTTTTGTTTAATTATTATAATTTATAAATCAGTGTCCTTCCGAAATGATGTCAACTATGTCAAACGAGATTTAACTATAGCAGCACAATCTACATTATTTGTCACCGACAGTAACATCGCTGTAAAAGCACAGAGTAGGGTTCTGCCGCTGCACATCTTACTTAACAATTAATATAATTATTCAACACAAATTATTCCAACATGTCAAATAATAATTTCGTTCTGCAAAGTTTATATAAAACAAACGTATTAGCATGAATCAATTTCATACTTAAACGAACGCCAAAATATGTATACTCCTTACATGTGTGTAAGGTCCTCGCACACTTCAACGATGAACCGATTATGAATCGTTTCACAGTAAATAAACTCAAATATTCTCGGGTGAACAGTGTTAAGGAAACTGCTATTTCTAAATTCGTTACCTAAAGGGCAAATATTCCACTTCACGCATTTAAATAATAAGAATGAGGAGGGAAAAAGAAATTCCCTCCTCTAATATGTCTCCCTGGAAAGATTTCCCCTTCCCCCCAGTGAGTACACCCACTACAGCATCAACACATGCGGAATTAAATAACATCAAAATTCGATCTAAAATTTACTGACGTCGACGAAGAAACTCACGCAACATGCGTCGTGTTCTGAAATAATCTCAGAAGCTGTCAAAGTGAACCTGTCGTGTCTCCAGACACAGCGGACAACGGTGCAGAAGCACAGTTGATAAATTTAACCGCCTGTATGTCGAGCTTGTGAGTAACCTATATTATGATCTTATCGACTTCATTCGCTTTACCTGAATCAGGCTCAAAACTATATGTGAAATGACGAAACTAGACAACTGGCGAACGAATAGGCGGTTACGTAAAATTTCGAAAATTCCATACAAATAAATAGATGCAAAATGCCAATATTTCATTGCCCTGTATCACTACATTCAAACACACCCACACAGCATCCAACCGCCCCAGCTATACCTTGAAACATGGTTCCCGACAGTATCAGTTTATGCAACTTCACGTGCACACGCGTACACACACTTTTTATTTTGCTTATACTACTATGTTCTTCTGTTAAAGATGTAAGTCTGTTTTCCTAGACTGTATTCCCACTATGACAGGCACACTCGCGCACATTTACACACACCCGTGTTCTTTTCTCGTAAAATCAATAACTTCCGAACGCACACGATTCGTGATCGCTTGGCACAAAACACACACCAACTTTACCGACTCAGAACATGAAGGAATGAGCATCTACGTGTTATCTATTTAGTGACTTAGGATGTGAATGTTTTTGAAACTGAAAAGAGAGCGGGAAAATAATCGCCCGTCAAGTGATACAGATCTGACGTTTCCCGGCAAATGGCCACAGCTTGCACTCCATGAAACGACGACGGAGTAACACAGGCGGCGTGGTGTTGAATCTGCGCTCGCAGAATGCAGTAAAGTGCGAATAATACACTGCAATCGCCGGTTTATTGCACAGGAAAGAAACATTAGCTGATTTCTACTTACTTTACTCAGTCAGATTTCAGCAGCTATTCTCCCACAAACCGCCACTACCGCTTACAACCAGAGTACTGCCTCTCCTGGTAACGACCGCTGTTCCACCTAGTATACTGCCTCCCCAGCAACGCAAATCGAACGAAAACAAAATAGTAATACAGGTCTAGAGATATTATGTTACAGCAGAAGAACAGTGGAAAATTATCATTGAACAAGATAATTCCTGAACTAATATGGCATATAAATAACTGAGAGCCTTCAGTAAACTTCGTTTTCAGCCAGACGTCAGAACACCAAACAAATGGAATAGCCCCCTCTTTGTCACGGTGCACTCCGCCTAAAAGTTCGTGGCACGAGCGCGTTTTTACGAATTCGATGTATTAATATTTCCTGATAAAATGTTTAGTGTAATAATATTTTCAGATATTCTTTGAGATATATATACCAACCAAAACGCTGTCCTGTTTTACAGCACTCTTTCTGAATGATTAAAGTGAAATACTACGGCACACACTGCAAACCTGTCACTATAGTCCCTGTCGTCTGCTTCTAGACCAAAGACTTTCCCCTCTGCCTACTATCGCCCCTCCATGGCCTTGAGGGAATCTCCTATTACGACTCTTAGACAGCGTTAAGCATTATCCGAATTACATCACTAGGGGGGGAACGTTTTGGCATGGCACGTGGGTCGCCAAACATGACCGAATACGGCGGGTATGTTTAACACAGGGGAGGACAAGGAGACACTGAATTAAAAAATTACCCCCTCCGACTGAATTATTCGATCAATTTTCATCCGATCGCTTGTAACTGGAACGCTATTAAATTCTGTAAAACATCTCGTTTAAATATTCAAAATTCCCTGGTGCAAGCTTCGAAATTAATAATAATAATAATAATAATAATAATAATAATAATAATAATAATAATAATTTTAACTTAATAATAATAATAATAATAATAACTGAATTATCTATTTATTTACTCCCTGAGCTCAGCAGAACCAGAACAAGCACGAATAAAAGAAACAGATATAAGACAACACAGGAGAAATGCAACAAAAAGAACAAAAACAAAGAAAATGGATCAGTTAAGGCTGTTTACACTCAAACGTTAATTATTAAAATTATCTGTAAACTTACATACTGCATTTGCAGCAGAAACTCGTCTAGCCAAAGGGAAGTAACTGAAGGAGCAAAGGAAAGTGGTAAAGTTGCGTATGTTCCGGGTAGGAACACGAATGCTGACTGTTTCGAGGACAGAGGAGCAATATTTAGTACCACTAAAACACCTGATAGTGAACGGAGAAGTTCATGGAGGTAGGCCTAGGCCCACTGGAGCTGTAGTACCAAGGAAAAAAACACTTGATATGCAGTCTCTGCAAATTTAATTTTTCCAATACAAAGTCATAGCGGTATTCCACATTTTGAAAAAAATATATCTTCTGGCAAAGATGTAGATTTTCTTTGCATGCGTTCAAGTACTCGTAGTTTGGAGTCAGCAAATGTAACAGAGTTCCAGGCAACAGAAGCATACTTCAATTCAGAATTGACCAAAGGAAAATACAGCATCAGTAAACTGTATGTGGTAGAAAAGGAAAATGTAAGTGTAAGAATCAACGCTAATAATTTCAGTGCTTGTGAAAATATAAAATAAACATCATTATGAAAATGAAGTTTACAATCACTATACACATCCAGATCCTTCATACAATCTGTTCGCAATGTAGAAGAATTTCCAAGCCTGTACTGATAGTTTAAAACGTTCGTTTTCCTGGTAAAGAAATTAATTTAATTTTACGAAAGTTAGGCTGTATATTACGTACAGATTCAAATATATATATATAATAGCTATGCCGACGGTAGTTTAACTACCAGTGGGGTCACCCATGTCTGAAAGGTTAAAGGATAGAATCCCTTATAAGAGAGCTACCCTGGTCCTCCAGCTTGGGGGTTGGGCATGAGGCGAAAAACCTCATCCTGTAAAAATCATTTTGTTCAGAAATCTAACAACCATCCTCGGGTCATCATGTGTGGGTCCATTCCTATGGCAGCACGAATTGGTTGTGGAGACTGGTTGTAGAGGAGGCCAAGGCTCACCCAGGGCTGTACCGCCGAGTGGTAGGTAGGTAGGTATATATATATGATTCCACAATCGACGTGCAAGCTGGTGTTTGAGGTCAGTGCGAGAGAGGAGCCCAGACACTGTAAGACAAATTGCAGACATGGTCTTAACAACCTCGTTTTGCGTCAACTTTCTTGCGAATGCATAACAGTGACTTAATCGCCCCACTGACAATATGTCGCAGAGACTGATGTGAGAGTATTCGAGAGGCTTTCCTTTCGAAAGTCGGTCGAACACCGTCCACTCTGAATTTCAGTTTTCGCGGTTTACCTCACTCCCTACAGGCAAATGTCGGGGCAGTAACTTCAATTAGGGCATGGCAGCTTCCTTCCATATACTTTCCAGTTCTTTACTCACCAACCTCAACCATTCGACGCTATATAGCAGGTGTACTCAACCTACGGCCAGCGGGCCGGATTGGCCAATGGACCCTCTTTATTTGTTTCCAAAGTATCTTTAAGTAATGCACTACTAGGATCATTCCTAGGGTAAAGAAAATCGGGAAGAAGGCCCACGGCCCCGCAATTTGGTATCATTGTGTGTGTGTGTGTGTGTGTTTTTTAAGGGGCAACGGATCCCCGCCGTTAATCTCTGTTTTCTAGACCGGAGCCGCTATTTCCTTGAAATAGCTCCTCAATTACCCCCACGAGGCTGAGTGGACCCAGTTCCAGACCCACTACTTCCAGAAAATCTTGTAATGCCGGGAATTAAACCCGGGACCTCTGGATCTGTAGCCAGGAACTCTGACCACTAGACCATAGAGGCGGTCTCACTCACGACAACAGTAAAGGAAATAGAAAATACACCACTTACATGCGGAAAACTCACGTAATATAACATCTATTATCTATTTTCAGATACACATAATTAAAACAACTTAGACTCTCTGAATACCCATCTGCTCCGCGATACATTATCAAAGACCGCCAAAATTTTAATTCAATTTTAACTTTTAACGTTTTAATTTTTGAGTTATATGTTTAATATTTTAAGATGAATAATCAAATTTGTAATGAAACTAGAATCGTAATGAAATGTATATTTATGACAGCTAATATGGATCAAAATTAGTAATACAATTCAATTCGAGTGTACAATCCATGAATATTTGTCTGATGATGACCCAGCTGGATCGAAACATGTAGAAAATGTACAAATAAACTAATATTAATATAATAATATTTGATTTATTGTGTTGACGGGCTTATAATATTGCTATATATAGTAATACACAACAGGATGCAAGAAATAAAGATATTTCTAGGCATTTACTTACTTACTTACTCATGGAGCTGAGCTCTTCTGGAGGGGCCGCCAATTCTGCAGCTACTCAAGAATTTCCCAGCATTTTATGGAACCCGAAGGTTCTTTACCGTG